GTCAATTGTTTTCTGGGAGTAACAATCCCTCTAAATTTTTTTTTACAAGTTTGGTCACTCAATCCACAACGGTTTTGGGGCACTTCTGTGCACAATTTGCCGACGTGTTCGCCCACAAAATATACAGTCAATTCACTTCACGGTATATTCTTTAGATGAGACATTAAAGTGAGGTTCCGTCTATGCCCGTCCACGTAGATGTCAAAGATCCCATGGTATCATTCGAAAAGAGAAGGGCAGTCTCTCTCTCCCAGTGTCCTGGCCATCAATCCCCCCAAATAAATCATTCATTCACCTCATGGTTGTTTGAGAAACTCTGCTGTGCACAAGTGCTTTGAGATATTTGACATGATAAGCTTTCTCTACAGGTCAAATGCAAGGCTAATATTAATATTATCAGCTACAACATAGACAGTTGCTACACTTTACAGTAAATCCCGTAAAGCGCTTTGAGATATCCTCCTGACATCAAAGGCATTACATTAACTACAACAACAAATTAGATTTGTAGAGCACCTTTATGTCGTAAAGACGTCCCAAGGTGCTGGAATTGTTATTAATAAGATGAAATTATTTAATATTATTATATAATTTAGGAATTAAAGGCAAAAGATCCAGAGATAGTAACAGTGTTGAAGGAGGCCATTCGGCCCACCAAGTCCGGACCGGCTCACAGAGCAAGGAGACTGCTTCAATCCCACCACCCCACCTAATCCCCCATCCAACAACTTGCATTTATATAGCGCCCCTCACAAAGGGTAGTGTCCCAGAGCGCTTGACCGTGGCAGAGCAACAACAACAACAAAATTACATTTATAGAGCGCCTTTCACGTTGGGAAGACACCCAAAGCACTGAACAGTCAGGTGTCGGGGCCCGAGCATGGGGGAGGGGTGGAGTAGGGGTGAGGGAAGGCAAAGAGGTGGGAGGGCGACCAAAGGCACGATCGAAGAGAAGGGTCTTGAGACCGGCCTTGAAGGAGGCGAGGGAGGAAGCGAGGCGAAGGGACCGTGGAAGGAGTTCCAGAGTGTGGGGGCAGAGAGGCTGAAAGCCTGGACACCGCTGGTAGGGCGGGTCGGGCGGGAGACATGGAGCAGGCCGGAGCCCGCTTAATGGAGGGAGCGGACAGGTTGGTAGGGAGTCAGCAGGTCAGAGAGGTAGGAGGGGGCAAGGCCATGGATGGCCTTGAAAGTGAGGATGACTGCACTGGGAAGGGGGAGGTGACCATAGACACGGTTGAATAGGAAGGTCTTCAGGTGCGAAGGGGCAGAGGAAGAGTGTCCCAGAGTTTCAAGGCGTAGTGACTGAAAGCGCGACCACTAATGGTGGAACGGAGGGCACGAGGGACATACAAAATGTCAGAGCCAGTCGAGCGGAGGCAGCGGGTTGTGGGGTAAGCAGGCAGGAGAGGTAGGGAAGTGCCAGGGCATGAAAGGGTTTCAAATTGAGTGTGAGGATCTTGAAATTGACCGCTTTGGTGATGGGGAGCCAGTGGAGCTTGGCTAGAACTGGTGAGATGGGAGGGACAGAGTTCAGTGTAGGTGAGTATGGCCTTGCTTTCATAGGCCTCTCTATTTCCCTCTTGAAAACTACAATAGACTCCACATCCACCACCCAACTCAGCAAGGTTCTACAGCTCATTACTCTCTCGGTGAAAATATTCCTTCTAAGTTCTCCTTTCGCTGTTCTTGTGACTGACTTATAGCAACAACAAAATTACATTTGCGTAGCACCTTTCACGTCGGGAATATGTCCCAAGGCGCTGGACAATCAATATTTCAGACCCGAGTTGGGAGTTGGGATCGGGGAGGGTGGAGGACAAGGGTAGGGGGAAGGAGGGTGACGGTAGGCACGGTCGAAGAGAAGGGTCTTCAGACGGGTTTTGAAGGAAGCAAGGGAGGGGGCGAGGCGGAGGGACTGCGGGATGTAGTTCCAGAGGTGGGGCAAGCGAGGCGGGCGATGTGAAGCAGGCTGAAGCCCGCTGAGCGGAGGGTGGGGCCAGGTCAGTAAGGGGTTAGGAGGTTGGAGAGGTAGGGGAGAGCAAAGCCATGGAGAGCTTTAAAAGTGAGGACCAGGATCTTAAAGTGTATCCTCTGTGTGATGGGAAGCCAGTGGAGTCGGGCGAGGTTGCAGGTGATAGGATCAAGGACGCTGGTGAGGGAAAGGACACGGGCTACAGAGTTCTGGATGATCTGCAGCTTATGGAGGGAGGAGTTGGGGAGGCCAACATGCAAGAACTTCCAGCGCCTTGGGACGTCCTCCCGACGTGAAAGGCACTCAATAAATGGAATCTTGTTGTAGTTGTAGTCGAGCCTAGATGTTATGAATGCGTGTATGAGGGTCTCGGCGGTCTGAGGCAGTGGCAGAGCCGGGCAATGTTGTGGACTTGGGGAAAGGCAGAGCGGGTCACGGCACGGATGTGAGGTAGAAAGGATAGTTTAAAAAAACAAGATTGTGGAGTCCTGTAGCTCAGTGGTTAGAGCACTCGCTTTGCAAGTCAGAGACCTGAGTTCAATTCCAGGCAGAGGGCGAAACCTTGGGCAAGTTTCCTTACTCCACACAGAGCCTAATAATAATCCCTCCAAAACCAAAAACAATAATAAAATTAGTCATTTTCAATCTACGACTGTTTGTGGGACATTACTGTGCGCAATTGGCTGCCGCGTTCGCCCACAAATATACAGTCAATTCACTTTACAGTGTGTTCTTGAAGCGCTTTGGGACGTCCTTCCGACGTGAAAAGCGCTATATCAAATGCAAGGATTATTATTATTATTATAACAATAATTTGCATTTATACAGCGCCATTCACACAGGGTAACGTCCCGGAGTGCTCGATGCCTAGTTTTGGACAAAGGTATGAAAATAGAATTCAAATGAACTGGTGGAACGGATTGATGGGCTGACTGGACCCCTCATGTTTGTGTATGCAGAGAGACACACACACCCATACAGAGTCACTGCCAAACTCCTGTCTAAACACACAGTGGCTCAGGTGCAACTCTGTGCCCCTCCCCCAGTTGACAATCCTCCCTATTAAAACAGTCATCCCACCCTTGTTTTTCTGGCAAGCTCTCATTGTGTACAAATGGCTTTAGTATTTACCAACCCAAGTTCAAAAGTCAATAAACACGATTTTACGTTGATAATTAACAGCTTTCCTGCAGGGAGGACGTCTCGAGTCATTTCAACAAAGACAATAAAGGCAAAGCACTCGGAGATTAATCAATGTTTCTTTAAGAAATTTAAGAGGAACTTAATTTGGGGTCCTGTGGCTCAGTGGTTAGAGCACTGGCTTAGCAAGCGAGAGACCTGGGTTTGATTCCCGGCAGGGAGAAATGTTGGGCAAGTTTCCTTACTCCACACACCTGTTGACCCAGCAGATAGTAGGAACCCGGTTATTGGTCGATTGGCAGATCGCTTTACCGGGAATAATAATCTTTCAAACAAAACAATAATAATTTGGTCACTCAATGCACGACTGTTTGTGGGACGCTGCTGTATGCAATTGATTGCCACGTTTCGCCCACAAATATACATTCAATTCAGTTTACAGTATTTTCTGTGAAGCGCTTTGAGACATCTAGAAAAGTGCTATATCAAATGCGAGGATTATTATTATTATTATTAAGCTGACATTGAGAACCCAGCCTGAGTAATGGGGCACCAACAACACATTACATTTACATGGCGCCTTTCATGTCAGGACGTCCCAAAGCGCTGGACAGTCAGGAATCTGCACCCAACCTGGTGGTTGGGATCAGGAGGTTGGGGGGTGGGGAGGGTAGGGGTAGGGGGTGGCCGTTTGAAGAGGAGGGCCTTGAGATGGGTCTTGAAGAAGGCAGCGAGGCAGCGGGACTGTGGCATTGAGTTCCAGAGGTAGGGGCAGAGAGGCTGAATGGTGGGGCGGGCAATGCGGGGCCTGGGGGGGAATGCCCACTGTCTGGTGGGGGGGGGGTCGGGTAAGTGGCCACTTTATGGGGCGTGGGCAGGTAAGTGCCCACTGACTGTGGGGGCAGGTAAGTGCCCACTGACTGTGGGGGCAGGTAAGTGCCCACTGACTGTGGGGGCAGGTAAGTGCCCACTGTCGGGGGGGCGGGTAAGTGCCCACTGTGGGGGGCGGGTAAGTGCCCACTGACTGTGGGGCAGGTAAGTGCCCACTGTCGGGGGGGGGGGGTAAGTGCCCACTGTCGGGGGGCGGTAAGTGCCCACTGTCGGGGGGGGCGGGTAAGTGCCCACTGACTGTGGGGGCAGGTAAGTGCCCACTGTCGGGGGGGGGGGGTAAGTGCCCACTGTCGGGGGGAGCGGGTAAGTGCCCACTGTCGGGGGGGGGGGGGGGGGGGAGTGCCACTGACTGTGGGGGCGGGTAAGTGCCCACTGTCGGGGGGGCGGGTAAGTGCCACTGTCGGGGGGGAGGGGGGAAGTGTCCACTGTCTGGGAGTGGGAGTGCCTAGTATCGGGGGGGGGGGGAATAAGAGCCCACTGGGGGTGTGGGGGGGACTCGACTGTGCCCAGTGACTGGGGAGGGAGTGAGTGCCCACTGTCTGCGGGGGCGTGAAAGTGCTCACTGTCTAGTCGGGGGGGGGGGGGGGGGGGTCAGTGCCCACTGACTGGGGGAGGGGATGAGGTGGGGGGTAACAGGAGGGCGGGGAAGAGGGCGCGGGGAGCAGGACAGGGGGGGAGGGGGTGGGGGGGTGGGGGGGGGGAAGGGGGGGAGGTGGGGGGGGGGTTGAGGGGTGGGTTTGAGGGGTGGGGGGAGGGGGGGGGGGAAGGGGGGGGAGGTGGGGGGGGGGTTGAGGGGTGGGTTTGAGGGGTGGGGGGAGGAGGTGGGGGGGGGTTGAGGGGTGGGGGAGGAGGTGGGGGGGTTGAGGGGTGGGGGGAGGAGGTGGGGGGGGGGTTGAGGGGTGGGGGGAGGAGGTGGGGGGGGGGTTGAGGGGTGGGGGGAGGAGGTGGGGGGGTTGAGGGGTGGGTGGGGAGTCCACTTGTCTCCGACGCCACTGACCAGAACAAGTGGCCGCAGAGGCTGATGACGGCGTCCTTGGCGGTGTCCAGGCAGATGTTACACTCGAACGCCCCGCGGTCCTGTCCCTGCCGCCGCTCCTGCTCCCGCTCCTCGCCATCGGCAGCGGCCGCCATGACTGAACAATAACAAGCCCGGCCCCGCCCCCTCCCGCCCGCCCGCCCGTCCGTCACCCCGGCCAACCGGGAACATCCGGGCCCCGCGGGCAGGGGGCGGGAGTGCCACTGCGAGCAGCGCCGCCTGGATTGGTCAGCGGCTCCATCAATTACCCAGCGGGGCGGGGCGAGGGCGGGCCTGAGCCTGAGAACGCCACCTTGATTGGTCTTTGATTGCGTCAATCATCGCGTGCGGCGAGGGTGGGGAAAGGTGGTTGAAGCGGCTGTGGGCACGTCACACAACCGCGCCTGGCGATTGGCTGCAATGGACGTCGATCAGCGCCACGTGGAGGCGGGATCTGTATTCTTATTGGCTGATCGTGGTAGTTCGCCCGTTTGTCAATGGTAGAGCGGAACGTCAATAATTACGGGCGTGATCAGTCTGATTTGATTGGCTATCGTGAGGCTGTGGGCGGGAGAGGGCGGTGTCAGAGCCTTCCTGTGTTTATCAATGAATGGGCGTGTCACAAGGCCTGTCAATCAACGATGTTTTCCCAGGATCTGTTGTTTGAGTGGACATGAGTCCAGTGACAGGAGAGTGGACACATTATAATAATAATAATATCCTTGTATTTGATATGACGCCTCAAAGCGCTTCACATAATATACTGTAAAGTGAATTGATCTGTACATTTGTGGCAATTAGTTAGGAAACTTGCCTAACCTGACCCGCCGGGAACCGAACCCAGGTTTCTCTCGCCTGTGAGGCGAGTGCTCCAACCACTGAGCTACAGGGCTCCACAATGCAAATTCAGGGCGGTTTGTAGGACACGGCTGTGCATAAATTAGCTGCTGAGTTTGTCTACCAAATGAGTCACTCCACTTTACAGTAAAATCCTGTGGTTTTGTGACCAAGTGCACGATTGCCACCAAATCAGCCAGAGCTGGAATCAGTTTCGAACAGCACACTGCAACAACCAATTACACACAGCAGTGTCTCACAAACAGTCGTGGATTGAGTGACCAAATTGTTTTTTTTAATGGGATTATTACTTCTGGAAAGCGATCCGCCAATCGCCTAACAACCATCCTGCTTACTCCTCGGTAAACAGACACATTTGTTGTTGTTGTTGTTGTCCCAGAGCTTAAAATAACTGTGGGCATAAACTGGCAAGGTGGGCAGAAGACTGTGCTAAGAGAGCGCCCTACCCGTATCCCTCCACCATGCCCCTTCCTTCCCCATCTTCAGGTTACGCCTAAAGACCTTCCTCTTGGACTGTGCCTACGGTCACCACCCCTCCCCCCCTCCCCCTCCCCCCAGCTCAGTCTTGGGCTCTGTCACTGTCAAGCGCTATCCTGCACGAGGGGTGCTGTGTTGCTGCTGTTGTTGTTATTCAGCGCCTTGGGACGTCCTGGTGTGAAAGGCAATAACAAATGTCATCTGTTCTTGTTGTTGTTGTTGCTCTCCCACCAGTGCCCCGCCCACTCCACACCCACACCAATCGGGGGGGGTGGGCTGTCGCTGTTCTCTCGGCTCTCATTTCTCGCTTAATATTTTAGTGACTTTAGCGATAAGTTTCTCCACTTAAAATGTTGGCGGGATGTTGGCCGACTGTCCCCTGGTCCGCAGACCCCCGGCATTCCTCTTGATTTATGGTTTAATCTGTGGTTTATTTGGTAGGTTTGATGGTGGATGTCTGTTTGTTACTCCCGGAGTCGTTCTGCTTCTCCTCTAAAACAGCTCAGCTCCCCGTCCCTTCAAATACTTCTGCAAAATGGCGATTTTTTAATGGCTGTGTTCCCCCCACCCCACCCCACCGCGCCCCCCCCACTCTGTGTGGCGTGAAGGATCGCCAAGTGGAGAACCCGAAGTGAGTGCCGGACAAAACCATCCTCGCATTCGATACAGAGCCTCTTCAGGCATCTCAAAGCGCTTCCCAGAATACACTGTACAGCGAAGCGACTGTTATATATTTTGCGGGCGAAACACGGCTGCCCAATTGTGCACAGCAGCGCCCAACACAACAGTCGTGGATTGAAGCGACTGATTTATTATTATTATTTTCTGAAGGGATCATTGTTACCTCCGGAAACGCGATCCGCCAATCGACTAACAATTGGGTTCCTACTGACTGCCGGGTAAACCGAGGCGTGTGGAGTGAGGAAGCACTTTGTCCTGCCGGGAATGGAACAGCAACAACAACAAGATTGCATTTATAGAGCGCATTTCACGTCGGGAGGACGTCCCAAGGCGCTGGACAGTTTGGTCGGGACTCGAGCAGTGGGGGAAATGGTCAGGGTAAGGGGAGGGAAGGGAGGGGGCGAGGAGGGGGTAGAGAGTCGAGAGGGGAGCTGAAGGCACGGTCGAAGAGAAAGGTCTTGAGACCGGCCTTGAAGGAGCAAAGGGAGGAAGCGGCGAAGGCACTGGGGGATAGAGTTCCAGAGCCTGGGGGCTGAGAGGCTGAAGGCCCGGCCACCGATGGTAGGGCGGTTGGGGCGGGGGATGTGGAGCAGACCAGAGCCAGAGGAACGGAGGGTATGGGCAGGTAGGTAGGGGGATAGTAGGTCGAAGAGATAGTAAGGAGCGAGGCCGTGAATGGCCTTGTAGGTGAGGATATGGCCTGCGATTGAAGGCAGTAAATTCAGAACGAATCTGCGTTAACTACTTCAGTGAGCGAGTAGTAAACTTAAGGAACAGGATCCCTAGGGAACATGTCATTGGTTTCAAGAACAAATTAGATAGATTTCTGCTAGGAAATATTATCTTAGGATACACTATAGAGTTTGGGTCACAACATTTCAAGTGATTGCCAGGATAATACTAATAATAATAATAATCACATGTTCGACACGTCTCAAAGCACTTCACAGGATACACAGTAAAGTGGATTGACTGGAAGGATGGTGGAAGGAACCAGATGGACCTTGGTCCTCTTTTGGCTGCAAATTCTAATGTTCTTATGCCGCCGACTGAACTGTGTGGATGCCTCAGGCTTCCTCTGAGCAAGGCAAATAGTGTCTAAATATTGCCTGGGAAAAGAAGACAGGATCAATATTAGAATCCTACAAGGCACAAGCGGGGAGACAGCAGCTGACACCGACTGTAGTAATAAATAATTCGAGTCAATGGGATTGTTCACCAAAAGGTTGGTGATGAAATTCTCTTGAAGTTGGGTAAAGGTTGGAGCCGTTGGTGAAATAATTATCGCTGGACATCAGATGGCGCTGTTTCACAGCATGTGTACTGCCAGTGTCTGTCACAGGAGTCCTGTAGCTCTGGTTCGAGCAAACGAGAACTGGGTTCGATTCCCATCAGGTGGAAACGTTGGTCAAGTTAAGCTTCGTTACTCCACGCGCCTCTGCTTACCTGGCAGTAAATAGGATCCCGCTTGCAAGTCGATTGGCGGATCGCTTTTTCGGGGGAAGTAAATCCTTTTAAACAAAAATAATAATTTGATCCCTCAATCCACGACTGTTTGTGGGACATTGCTGTGGCGCAATTAGCTGCCTCGTTTCGCCCACAAAATACAATCAATTCATTTTACAGTCTGTTCTGTGATGCGCTTTGAGACATCTGGAAGACGTGATAAGGCGCTGCATCAAATGCAAGGATTATTATAATCAAGTTCCAATGCCACAAGCCTCTTAATTACTCAACGCAGCAGCGTGTTTGATATCAGTGTCACGCAGAACTGTTGGATGTTGTCAGTGATTACAGTCTCTGTGGAATGGAGCAGGAATGAGACAAGCTAGCTACAAAGCAGAATTGTTCGTTGTCTGGCAACAGGCTGCCCTGGCCTGGTGTCTGTCTCCCACACAGTGAGGCGATGATCCGTATGTGCGAAGGACGAAAAAGTGATGTGCAGTAAAACAGAAGGCCATTGTGAGATGCTTCCTACAAAGATGATGGTCTCAGCCTGTCCTGGAGTCCTGTAGCTCAGTGCTTAGAGCACTCGCCTCGCATGAAAAAGGACCTGGGTTTGATCCCCGGGCAGGGTGAAATGTTGGGCAAGTTCACTTACTCCATACACTTCTGTTTACCTAGAAACCCAGCTGTTAGTCGATTAGCGGATCGCGTTTCCTGGGATAATAATTTCTTCAAAAAAAAATAAGCTGGTCACTTCAATCCACGACTGTTTACAGGACGCTGCTGTGTGCAATTGGCTGCCCCGTTTCGCCCACAAAAGATACAGTCAACTCACTTTACGATAAAATTCTGTGAAGAGCTTTGAGATGTCTCGAAGACGTAATAAGGCGCTGCATCAAATGCAAGGGTATTTATGTTCTGACATTACATGACTCTTTGCCCTGTTTGTCTCCTTACCCAGCTTTCTCCCCCCCAATTCTGCTGCTTTTATTCTTAGGAAACGAAGAAAATCCCAAACAAGTTCTTGTTCTCTGAGCATGTAGATGTGCTGACTCTGACCCGCTCGCAGTGGGGGCTGCTTGCACTGGCGTTACATTAGGCAACAGAGGATGTGTCTTGGGCTACCTGGAGCCAGGAAAATAGTGATTTTTTTACACAAGTACTGTCTAATAATAATAATCCTTGCATTTGATATAGTGCCTTACCACATCTTTGAGACATCTCAAAGCCCTTCACGAATATACTGCAATGTGTAGTGACTGTTTTTTCTGTGTGAAATACGGCAGCCAATTGCGCACAGCAGCATCCCACAAACTGTTGTGGATTGAAGTGACCAATTTCTTATTATTATTTTGAAGGAATCATTATCTCTGGAAAAACGATCCGCCAATCAACTAACAACCAGGTTCCTACTTACTGCTGGGTAAACAAAGGCGTGTGGAGTAAGGAAACTTGCCCAACAAATCAGCGGAGAAGCATTTGTTCTTTACCCTGGAAACAGACCATAGTAATGGTCTATTTTCCTCCCACGCTGCCCTGTGTTATAACATGTCACCATTTATCGTGGTTTTGCTTACAAGTGCAATGTTCTTTGGACCTGTGCTGTTTGATTCCAGCTCTGGCTGATTTGGTGGTAATCATGCACTTTGTCACAAAACCATAGGATTTTACTGTAAAATGGAGTGACTACATTTGG